CCACTTTTTTCTTTTTCCCTAATATATATATATATATATATATATGTGTGTGTGTGTGTGTGTGTGTGTGTGTGTGTGTGTGTGTGTGTGTGTTGCTGTAGAAAGCTCACCTCAAATTATTCTAAACAACGTGTGACTGTTTTCATATTAAACAATGGATGTGACTATAAATATTGCACGCTGTTTCTTAATATGCTTCCAAAACTACTTACTGTTATATTTGTTAATAGATTTCTGTTCAGGCAAACATTTCTCTCCATCTTCTTATGCATAATACATATTATATGCATAATAAATACTACGTATTTATTGTACTTAGCTCATGATTATAGACAGTATCAATATAGAAATGTTTATTTTCTTAAGAGATTCTGTTTGTCCAGCTCTTATGTGCTTGTGTGTAACTATAGAACTTTTTTTTTTTTGCATTTCGTGTTGCGTTCTTTTCGAGGAACGGTTGGGTTGAGTCATATATAATTTTCGTTTTTCTTTATCAATTTTGTTTTTTAAAAAATAAAGTACAATTCTATTTTATTCAATTACATATTCGCCTTCATTTGAAATGACTCGTTGCCACTTATCAAACAACAATTCAATACCATTGCAGCAAAATTCTGCATGTTTTCATGAGAAAAACCTTTTAACGCACTCTTGGGAATTTATCTCTCTCTCTCTCTCTCTCTCTCTCTCTCTCTCTCTCTCTCTCTCTCTCTGATAGAGAGAGTTCTCTAGCGATCTAAAAAGGTAATAGTCGATTGGTGCAAGACTAAGTGAATATGGTATGTCGGGTAGAGCAGACCAACCGAGTTCCACGTTTTTTTCCTGTTTTATTCTTTCTCATTGTCATCGAGAACAACATTATTCCTTTAATCCACTGTGTATGCTGCCACTTTCATTGAAAGATTAAAGTATGATAGTGGCATTCAAATGTATTCTTAACTGTCACGTATTAGTACTTAGGACGTTACGATCATCGACACAATTGGTTCCCAAAGACGGAAATTACTTATGGTTCACGTTAAGAAAAGAAACAACGATTAACAATGCCTTATTATTCCGATCAGTATCGTCGGCTTGGTAGTTATATTCACGTTTTGGCCGTCTATTGCACTATCCGACCGTCTTCAGGTATGTTATCTTAACTTGGTAACATTTTAGGGATTTTGAATTAAACCTTTTATTCAGTCTACGAACATGTACAACGACCGAAATAGTCTGAGTGTAAAAACTAATATAAACATGTTGATCTGAATAGCAAAGTATATAATAATAATTCCTTATATAAATCTTCCGATATTAAATTAAAAGAAATGATTGAAACATCTCGTTTTTTATTTGCTTTAGCTAAAAGAAAAAAATAATTTACTTAGAGTTCATGATCAAGCATCTCTGCTGATAGTTTATTTTATCGTTCTGCATATCTTTTATTACATGCAGGCATTTTTTTCTCTTTATTTTGCTGTTTTGGTTTTTTTATTTATTTTATTTATTTATTTATTTATTTGTAAAATATCGGTACCATTTGTCATGCCATTTTTATTAACCTTGGTGTCTTCTCGCTAGACTGTCAGACATTCTTCGTCGTGAAAGACAACAGAGGAAAGTAATAAAATCAGGACAATCGTTTAATCTTTGTTACCGTTGAAAACCAGCGAAGAATTTAGTCCTGATGTTGCGTTGCTTCCTTCGCCCGATCTTTTTTCAAGAGAATTTCAGCATTTTGTCGCGTTTAACGGAAGATGATATGAAAAAAAAGGAAGAAAACGACAAAAGAAAGCACTTCCGGTATTCTTGATTTCTCTTTAATTCTCTCCTTAAGATAGAAAACGCAAAAAAAAATATAGTCCTTGCTAACAGTTTAAGTACTCCTATCATAAAAGGTATTACATTAAATGTCAATGTGCTTTGTCGTCGTTTCCTTTCCTATTTTCTTTATTTTTTTAACGGTGGAAATTCCGTGGATTTTTCTTTTCTTTTCTTAAGACACAATCGGAGCAAATTAGTCAGTTTAACTTCTTTCTTTCTTTTTTTCTTTTTTTCTTAAATTCCTTATTTCACTGGTCACTATAACTTTGACCGGAAAATGGTGAAAATATTCAATCATATAAAAGAAAGTTCAGCGTGTCTTTGAAGGAAAGAGTCCCTCAAGCATTGAGACATTCCCCATTCCAACTGGAAGAGTCTGATGAGGGTCGTGCCGTTCGGCACTCCCTTGTAAGATATGGAGTGTTTGATTTTGAAGAGAAAAGAATCAGAGACAAAGAACAGAGACCCCAAAAAAGAAAAGATCAAGAGGGTTCCGCCTCACGGCCTGGTTCAGTATCCCATGTTACAACTGCAACAGATTTTTCTGGGCGAAGATCGGACTTATTATCAGCGATTCGAAGTCAAGGTCATCTCATCGAGGTCGAACGATGATATGAGAAATTTCAATTGATTTTGACTTCTCAAACTGGGAAGAAATCAAGAAAATTTCTCAAGCCCGCCCCAACGTAAAACTAATAAAATTGAAAAAAAAGTTCATGTTGCTTTAGAGTAACCACTTCGCACAAGATTTCAGTAGTGTAAAGATAATTACTTACAGTATTTACATTATTCAGACTGTTATCCTCATCTTCATTGCCATATTCACAAGGACACATGGCCCTTGCAAATAATGGTGAATCAATTGCAAAATGTACGGCTTGGAAAGTTTGTTCAATGCATCATGTCAGACAAATTCCTCTCGTCAGGGCCGGCGATAGGGCCTCGGGCCACATCCCCAAATTTTAATACACCAGCCTCTCTATTATATGACGAATTCAAAGTTTTCATACCTGGGGTGCACAAAGCCTCGAAGGAAAATTGTGGAGAAAGGTAGCGCTTTTTAAAAATTACTAAAAATCAAGGAATTAACCAATTTAAATGCAAACTTCAGTACATATTCAAGAGTGATTTACTTTCATAATGAATAGTTTTTTTAATTTTTTAAGATTCTGAGAAAATATTTTCATGACTAAATTTTACTGAAATTAGCACTTCTGCCCCTCCTCCCAGTAGTTATGGGATCCCCACGCGGTTTTGAGTTTCGGGGTAGTAAGCACCGGCCCTGTCCATTATTATAGTTGATGATTGACAATATAACTTAGGTATAAAAACGTAAAAAGTACAAAAAGCAAAAGAACACTGCTGAAACTGGCCCTTTTGGGGCTCTAAGCTCGTCAGGGTTCTCTGCGTAGTACGCACCTCACCGGCCAGGCAGATACATTATGTATATTATTAGTTGAGGAGTGACAATGTAACGTCAGTTTGAAAATAATTTTAAAATGGCGCATAGCTATAAAACAGTGCTGAAAAAATGGCGGAGGCAACAACGAGTCCCAAAATCGCCCCCTCTCATTTTTTTTATTCCGAGACCCGTAGGATCATAGGGGGTACTATGTGCACTTTAGGTGCAGTAGAAGTGTTGTTTCTTGAGCAAGATAGCCTGGCGGAGCTTCTCCTAGAAGATTGTTATCCATGACTATAGAACCCGGTCTCTTCTGCTATTTACACATAGTTGGGAGGATTCATATATTTCCCAAGGGTATTAGCACGTAAGTTAATGCAATGGATTCGACTGGAATTTAAACTCGGCTCTCTGATTCCTCAATCCGAACCTCTCTCTATCTTCATTTACTGCAGTCAAAAAGTACATTCATTTAAAATAAACATAGTTTTAATAAAACTTATGTTTTACTTAACTGTATCCAATAATAATGCATGTAATATTCACATATTAGTATCGTAGTATAAAATACAAACATAGCGAGTATGCATCTTTTCCATTTACGTTTCTAAGATGTTTAGCTGTTTCTCGTTCGCTTATTTATAGCCGGACGAGTATAGCGTTACGAACGATACTTTTATCATTCTCTTTTACTTTTTTTAAAATATTTAACGAGAGGATGGGATAAAGAGATAGAGAAAAAGAGGTTAGTCTATTTTAATTTGGTCTCTCAAAAAAGGAACTCACATGATTAAAATCATTTTTTATAAGTGAAAACTTGGGGGTCACACGATACGCGAGATATACAGTAATTATTCTACTTCATATTAGTGGAGAACCTGAGTTCAAGAAGGAGCAAAGATGTTAGCATCAATCATACTAATAGCAGGCAGAAAAAGTTTCTGTGTAAATTGAATTATTTGTTTTTGTTCTGAACATTGTTAACTAACCTGTGAAAATATATTTTAAGTTAAAAGAAGGCGGGGGAAAACTGTAGAAACAGCCGCTGGGAAATCATTTAAATTGGTTTGATGTGTAAAGGGTCTTTTTTTTTTCAGAAAACCGTTTAAAGATTTTAACATGTAACGTTTATATTATGAAAAGGCGTTTCTGGTGACCCTAAATGTCGCCGGAAGTTTGAGAACTAAATTAAACTTTGCTTTTATGGAACATCTATTGCGATCATACAGTTCTGCTGTCCCGTTTAAATCCAGAATTAAAAGAAGCGACATGCAACATTCATCGCCGCTGAAATTCATGGTTGAGAGAACAGACTAGGCAAGAATAGGCTTCTGTACGAAATCTGAGAGTCACTTGCCGATAATGGCATAAATCTCTACATCCGGTGCCCATCGATTAATATGTCACACTCATCTGTGTTTTAACAAAGTAAATTTGATTTTGATTTCCTTTCTTTCTTCGCATTCCGGATGAGGCAAAGTAAAAGTTGCCATGAAACATGAGCAGATAACTCGGTCTGAATATTATAATGATAAGTCCAGATTGTACGAAAGATAATTCTATCACTGAGATTTCTCTTATCTGGGCCAAAAAGCATTTAGAACAAGATTTATTATTTGCAATAAAATTCAATTGGCTACATGCTTACATAAGCAAATGACGAGACATTGTCAAGGTTTACAACAGGTGTAAGAGCTTTTAGCTTAAACGACTTGAAAAGGGAAGCCATTCACTAATTTCTTTGTCAAACACATTGAAAGGATTGTGTGTGTATGTCTGCTTGTTTGCGAGTTTATGTGCGTATGTGAAAATCGGTGGATAGAGAGAAAAAGTGATAGCGACAGAAAGAGACAGATAGAGAGAAAAAGACAGAGAGAGAGAAAGAGAGAGAAAAAGAGAGAGAGATAGAGACAGAGAGATAAATATATACAGATAGAGAGATCGAGAGAGAGAGGAAGAGGGAAAGAGATATAGAGAGAAAGAGATAGGGAGAGAGAGAAAGAAATAACGACAAAAAGAGGTAGATATAGAGAAAAAGACAGAGAGAGAGAAAGAGTGAGAAAAAGAGAGAGATAGAGAGTGAAAGAGACAGAGAGAGAAATATATACAGATAGAGAGATCGAGAGAGAGAGATCGAGAGAGAGAAAGATCGAGAGAGAGAGAGAGAGAAAAAGAGAAAGAGATAGGGAGAGAGAAAGAGATAGCGACAAAAAGAGATAGATTGAGAGAGAGAGAGAATAAGATATAGAAAGAAAAAGATAGAGAAAGAGATAGAGAGAGAAATATATAGAGAGAGACAGAGATAGAGAGAGAAGTAGAGAGAGACAGAAAGGGAAAGAGATATAGAGAGGAAGAAAGAAAGAGAGAGAGAGAGAAAGATATTGAAAGAGACAGAGATAGAGAGAGATGTAGAGAGAGACAGAAAAAGAAAGAGATATAGAGAGGAAGAAAGAGAGAGAGAGAGAGAAAGATATAGAGCGAGAAAGAGATATAGAGGGAGAGGATAAAAAGCAGAAAGCTTCATATAAGCAAAAAAAAAAATGAAATCAAATAAGCAAAAAATATAACACATCGATGCAAGTGAGTGCCTGTCTGTTAGACTAAATGACAAACTGGAACAAAATCCTACGGTCCTAATAATAGTTTTATCGATGTCCAAATCTTTTTCCTTTGAGCAGTTTCCAGTGGATTGCTACTCCTACCCTATTATATCTACTTTCTATCCGGTCTCATTATTTATAATCCCATGGCTCTGTTTTAATATATATATATATATATATATATATATATATATATATATAAATATATATATATATATATATATATATTATTATGTCCGACAATTATTTTAAGACATTTTTTTATTTTTTATGTTTATACGTTCTTTTTACAGATACAATATATGTTTAAGTAAATGCTCTGTTTATAATAAACAGTATTAACGTTCGGTAAATGTCGTTAATACCGTTTATTATAAACAGAGCATTTACTTATTTGTATATATAAAAGAAAATATATCAATATATATATTTATTAAAAGACATTTTTTATGTTTAACGTTGTTATTTATAGATACAAGTATTTAAGCAAATGCTCTGTTTATGATAAACAGTATTAAATAACATTTACCGGCCTGAATGTCCGAGAAATTTTCATTCTTTGACAGGATTCGAACCTGCATCCTATACGGAACCGTCATTTACGCTGACGTGCCTTACCTCTGGGCTACAAAGAACCTTTCGGAGGACAAGGTCGAATTTACTGCTTATAGCTTTGTGGCCCAGAGGTAAGGCACGTCAGCGTAAATGACGGTTCCGTATAGGATGCAGGTTCGAATCCTGTCAAAAAGAACGAATATTTTCTATGAAAAATTTCTCGGACATTCAGGCCGGTAAATGTTATTTAATACTGTTTATCATAAACAGAGCATTTGCTTAAATACTTGTATCTATAATTAACAACGTTAAACATAAACAATGTCTTTAATAAATAAATTGTCGGATCTTGTCCATTACTTAATATATATATATATATATATATATATATATATATATATATATATATATATATATATATAATTTAGGCTCTACTCATTTATTGAGCACTAATTTTTTTTTAAATAAACACAAAAATACTGAAGACCTTTGGATTATTAACCTAACGGTTCTTTCATATTGTTATATATATATATATATATATATATATATATATATATATATATATATATATATATATTATATATATATATATATAAGACATTTTACTGGAAACCAGAAAAGGCAGCATGTGATAAAAGATATGATACGCACTTGTGGTTCAACAAAAGAAATAAAAGGCATCACAACTTCTCTTTTCTGATTTCCACTAAACTGTCTTGATCGTGTATTGTTTAACAGTTTAAAATAAGTAACGTCATATATATATATATATATATATATATATATTTATATATATGTGTGTGTGTTTAAGACAACTGACGAGGTACTGCGTTTATTCTTTTTTGTGTTTGTAGTCAGTCATGATCCATGCGTGATACAAGATCGATACATGACTGACGAGGCATATTTTTTCCCGTAGTAGGTTGCCATTTCTTTCTGCGGTAGACCAGTTGCCATCCAAGGCTATAGAAGCCGGTCTGTCCTGCTATTTACCAATAGCTGAAGGGAGAAAAAGAGGATTCATACCTTTCCAACGAGTATTAGCACGTAAGTGAATATAATGCAATCGACTGGAATTCGAACTCGGCTCTCCGATTCCTCAATCCGACCCGCAATCCATTACTCCACCGTGCCCCCCGTATTCGTACAAGTGTTTTCTTTTCTGGGCACAAAGTGTGTAATAACTGTCCAAAAGTTCCGCATTTCCGATACTTTTCGTTTATACTTTTAACCATTATAATGAATCATTTTCTTTTACTTTTAACTGAATGTATGGGTTGTGTTATGCATGTATCTAGAAAAATGTTTTATTTTCCAGACACGGTCAGCACATTGTGAATTATGATGAAGACGACCTTCGTTACACCTGTCCGACTACAGCTCCATCAGAACTCATTTAAACGTTTTCCACACAAAAATCTACCAGACTTCATCCGAAACATACTAGTAGAAAATACTAGCATAATAACCTCACCAACATGTGAAAAAAAGCTTAAAAATAAGTCTTAAAAATAAAAATGAAAAAGTCAACACCCAATAACATTAACTCCAAACACGGCCCTATCAAGGCTTGGGACAATAGACACTATGGAAAATTTTACAATCCTTACCCCCTCCACACACACACCAAACAAAAAAATGTAAAAATATTAGAAAGTCTAAATAAAAATTCATCAAATGCTCAATACAAAGTAGAGTAATATTATTATTTTATTTTAGATATGTTGAAATCGTTACCCAATATAGCTTTATTGTTTCGACACTACGTTGTACCTCTTCAGTTGAATCGTAAGTGACTGGTCATTAAATGATTTTTAAAAAAAATTCAAAAGCAAAGAGTTACCTCTTTTCTGAATGATAAAGGGGGAGAGGTAAGAAAACACATGGTCAGAATTAAAAAGTAGACTTGTGGGTTTGTCTTGATCAACCAATTAAATGTTAGATCGACCCTAAATAGAAAATTAAGTTCAGAGGGAGGGGGGACCCCATTTTTCATGACATAATAAACCGGAACAGACAGGTCATCACTGTTTGAGTTGCAGTTATGTGCCATGCGTGATACACGCTTAGGCGATCATGTATCTTTCGAGACATGACTAACGAGGCATATTATATATATATATATATATATATATATATATATGTGTGTGTGTGTGTGTGTGTGTGTGTGTGTGTGTGTTTAAGACGACTGACTAGGTACTGCGTTTAATTTTTTTGTGTTTGTAGTCAGTCATGAGCCATGCGTGATACAAGATCGATACATGACTGACGAGGCAGAATTTTTCCCGTAGTAGCTTGCCATTTCTTTCTGCGGTATACAAGTTGCCATCCAACGCTATAGAACCCAGTCTGTCCTGCTATTTGCTCATAGCTGGGGCCGGGAGAAAAGGAAGATTCATACCTTTCCCAAGGGTATTAGCACGCAAGTGAATGTAATGGATTCGAATGGAATTCGAACTCGGCTCTCCGATTCCTCAATCCGAGCCGCTATACAACTACGGAAAGTATGTAAGCAAGAAATGTATTTTCTACAATCACAGTACATTTGTTGTTACGTAGTACCGAAACGCGAATGCTACTGTGCAGCGATTTCGACGTTTTTGTTCTAATATCTAAAATAATAATAATAATAATAATAATAATAATAATAATAATATATTGTTCTACGAATCCAGAAACGATTGTTCATCTTATATCAGGTTGCACGATATTGGCACCCACTGAATATATAAACCGGCATGACAGGGTGGGCCAATATCTGCACTGGAAAATCTGCAACTTCTACGGAAAGGAAACTGAAAGAAAGTGGTATGAACACCACCCAGATCCGGTTACAGAGATAGGACCTGTTACAATTCTATGGGACTATACAATACACACTGACAGAACAATCAAGGCCAATCGGCCAGATATTGTTATTAAAGACCAGAAACAAAAACGGTGCCTCCTTATCGCCATGGCAGTCCCTGCTGACTGCAATGTATCTTTGAAGATATTCAAAAAGCTGTCAAAATACAAGGACCTTAAAATAGAAATCTCAAAAATGTGGCACATGGGAACATCAACAATTCCTGTTGTAGTTGGAGCCCTAGGATTGGTTGGAAAAGATTCCAGTAGACTAATTGAAGGGATTCCTGGAAGCCCATGCCGCAAAGAAATACAAAAATTGTTCTCACAAGTACAGCCCATACTATACGAAGGGCATTATCTATGTATTTTTTTTCTGTTAGTGGACAGTGTCATGATACCATTTCTAACCTTAGGTCCCTGAGGGGTGGGGGCACGGAAAGAAATGTGTAAACGCCAGAAATCAAAGGAAATAAAAATAAAAATAATATATTGCTCTATTTTGTATTGAACACTATTTTAAAAACTAAATGCTACGAACAGAGAATTTTACTTCATCTGTTCTTTTCTCATTGGATATATATATATATATATATATATATATATATATATATATATATATATATATATATATATATATTTTTTTCATCACTTGATAAGACACCGGAGGTGTTGAAACAAAATAGCTATTTTTTGTAGTGATTTTATAACATATTTATGTTATAATTTTTTTTAAATAAATAATTATATATATATATATATATATATATATATATATATATAGAGAGAGAGAGAGAGAGAGAGAGAGAGAGAGTTGTTCGTGATGAGAATTATTGATTTTTATTGATTTCAAACAATAAACCCTCTATAGGCTATCATGTATTCTTTATTAATCGAATCACCTTATGAAATCTTTATCCGTGAAAGTGACACGCACACCGGAATGACAAAACAAATTCAAAATGATGCGTTGTTATGTTTTCAGTTCATGCCTTTAAAAAACAAAAAAAAAACCCTTAACATAACCCTTCAACATTGATTGAAATTGTCGCAAGAGTAACATTATGTCGTTCCTGAATATCGCTTTTAATTTTGGCATTTAATAAATGAGTCGAGCGCCTCTGCTTTCCTATTAGCTTTTGCTAACGATATTGGCATGGGCGGTCAAGCATTGCGTGCGGCGACATGATTTGTATTTATCGACACAAGGTGGCCGTTAGGATCGCGACAGGGGCCAGTGTAACCAGTCGTTGCCTGGAGATATTGTACGAGACACGGATGTGTCTTTTCAACTATCGGCCTCTAATTTACTGACGCCATTGGTATTCGAGAATCTTTATTTTTACTGTGGGAGTCAGTCACACCACAGGAGAAAAAAGAATACCAAAATAAATTGAAAGAAACGTGAATTTAGTATGTATCATTATCGCTGTCTTTCTGTCTCTCTTTTCTATGTCTGTCTCTGTTTCACTCTCTGTCTTTGTCTCTATCTATCTATCTATCTATCTATCTATATATA